TTTATGTTTTTTCTTAATGCATTTTAAGTGTTATTATGAGGGATAACAATTATATGTGTTGGGACTTTTCAAGAAATTCATATGGTTGGATTTCAAAATTTTTTTTTTATGTTATAATATGATGGGTAAGACTTGGGAGTTGAGAGAAGTTAATAAATGCTAAGATTTTTTTTTTTTTAAAATAAAAAATCAAGAATTTTAGATTGGGAGATTGGAGCTCCACAAGGGTTGGGGTTTAAAACCCCCTTTTGCTTATATATAGTATAGACTAGCCTATCACCCGTGCTATGCACAGGGAAAGTTATTGATATTTATATTTGTTTATATTTTTTTAATATATAAAATTAGTTTTTTTAGGAATTTTTTATAAAAATAATTTAACAACCTTATCACTAAACCATAGTGTATGGGGAAAGTTGAAAGAGGTACTGCAGTAACTATACACGGGATTATATCTATATTATTTTGTATGAGGGAATTTTAAATGCTGATCAGAGGAATTTGACCAAATCAATAAATGCAGCAATGTGGAAAGATATGTGGATTGAAAAAAAGTTCTTACAATGCTGATCAGGGGATTTTGACCAAATCAATAAATGCTGAGTTTTTTTTTTTTTTGTAATAAAGAAATTTAGACAAATTCAGATATGGGATATTGAAGCTTCCACAGACCTTGGGTTAAAAACCCCTCCTTTGCTCTAATATATAGTATAGATATAGATAATTAATAGATGGATATATATATTTATATATATATATATATTTGTTTTAGATAATTTTTTTCAAATCAAAAATGTCTAAGACCCCCTTTTTTTCTCACCCCCTTTGACCCCCTCTCTCTCTTTTGGAAGTGGTGGGGATGGTGTATTGGAGGGGGTCTTCATCACTCCTCTTTTTAATATACAATTTTATTTATAGTTTTTTTTATTAAAAATAATTTAACAATCCCAATTCCTATATCATAGTGTGTGAGAGAAGTTGAAAATGGCTACAGTAACTAACTATGAGAGAAGTCAAAAAGGCTTGTAGATTAAAGAGAAGCCAATAAATGCTTGAGTTATTATTATTTTTAAATTCAAAAAATTAGAATATTAAAATTGAGAATTTGAATTCACACAAGATTTGTAGATTAGAAATTCCATTTTCTTTATATAATATAGAGATAGAAGGTAGATTGGCTAAGTGAGAAAATTTATTACAATAAAATATATGATACTTTTCCAAGGCTCAAACACGGCTAAAATAAAAATAAAAAAAATAAAAATTCACAAATGCGAAAAAGAAAATCTCTTACAAGTGGAGAGATTTTTTTTTTTTTTTTTGATCGAGAAAACCAGCCCAACAATTACACTGAATTGGAGGATAAGCACCTAACAAGACCCATAGGTGGTTAGGCAACCCAATTAGCGGGTAAAGAATTATGAAAACAAGCAGAAGCAACCCAGTGGGCTGCGCTATTACCAACTCTAGGACACCAAAGAAAATTCGGCTGCCAATTTGTGGCTATCGAGTGAACATCACTCAGCAAAGCAAGAAGCTCCCACGGAGGGACCCCTTCGAAGACACAGAGTTGAATCACGGCTTTACAATCTTCTTCAATATCCACTGCATTCAGATTGAGTGCACTTGCCATAAGACACGCGTGCCGAGCGGCTAGCAATTCTCCTTGAGCAACCGACCTCACCCGGATTTTACAGACCATGCCATCCACCAAATTGCCCAAGTGATCTCGGAGAAGGACTGCTACCGCACCAGTTCCTTGCCGCAAATCAACAGCCGCGTCACAGTTGAATTTCCACTTTCCTCGAGGCGGAGGAACCCATGCAGCCCCTACTTGGTGCACACCCGTAACTGCCATAGCAGGGGCCGAGGGCACATTGCAGGTGGCCAAGAATTCAGCTTCATCATGTTTGGCCTTCGCTATAACTGCTGCGGGATTAACCAGGCATTGGTTGAATAAATGGTTATTTCGGCCCTTCCAGATTGTCCAAGCCACCCAAATCATGGAGCAGATCACATATTTCCCCCCAACTAGAAGTTCCAAAAGATGTAAAGCATTGCCCAAACCAATCTCTGACCGAGAGGCTGCCAAGATCGTCACTTCGAAGACCAAGATTGCTCCCAAACCAAACTCTTTTAGACCAATCACACTCAAACAATAGGTGTTCAATAGATTCGGTGGCTGTCAAGCACACAGGACAACAAGCCGTGTTGGCACACCGTTTCGCAAGCAGATTTTGACAAGTAGCCAGTGCATTATGATAGATTCTCCAGACGAAATGCTTGAGTTTAGGAGGTAAATTCAAATTCCAAACAAACTTCCATTCTTTCGCCGACCAACCCGTAGAAGAGGAGGGCAGGGTGGAACCCAAGTGTGCTTGTTTCACTGCTTCTTGATAGCCCGATTTAACCGTATAACAACCTCTTGAGTCATAGTGCCAAAGAAGAGCACATCCTTATCCTCTACAGAAACAGGAATAGATAGTATAGCATCACAGTCCACGCCAGACACTAGGCTGCAAAGCTTCCTCTCGTCCCACTGCTTGCGCACAGGGTGTATGACCTCATTGACCGTAAGAACCGAACTCCCACCATGCCTCACTGTTTGGACACGAAATCCTGGATTAGATGGTATCCACTGATCCTCCCAGAAGTTGATAGATTTCCCATTAAGAATTTGCCACCGTAAGCCTCCTGACAGAATTTCCCTTCTTCGAAGTAAACTGAGCCAAGCCCATGAGGGTCGCGTCCCTCACGCAGCATGATGGAAGTCAGAGTTGGGGTAATAAATTCCTTTAATAATTTTTGCAAATAAAGTATTCGGGAATTTAATTAAACGCCAACCTTGTCGAGCGAGGAGAGCTCTATTGAAAGCCTGAAAGTCTCGGAAGCCCAGACCACCTTTGAATTTCGGCAGGCACAATTTGTTCCAACTGGCCCAATGAATACCTCTCCCCTCCGGATCCGCTTTCCACCAGAAATTCCTAATAAAGGAGCTCAATTTATCACACAACTTGTTAGGAAATAAGAAACAGGCCATAGCATAGGTAGGCATTGACTGGGCAACCGATTTGATGAGAACTTCTCGACCTGTTTGGGAAAGCAACTTCGCCTTCCAACCTTGCAATTTGGACAGCACTTTCTCGCATAAGAAATTATAAGCTTCAACCTTAGAGCGACCCCAACATGACGGTAGTCTCAAGTATCTTGCATTAGCTTGCATCTGCGGAATACCAAGCAAACCACACACCTCCATCCGTCGAGAGAGAGGAACATTTCTAGAAAATTGAACTCCCGACTTGTCAAAGTTAACCGATTGCCCCGAAGCGAGACCATAAACATGAACCACTCTGTTGATTTCAAGACATTCCACAGTGCTGGCCTTGGCAAAAAGTATTGCATCATCCGCAAAGAACAAGTGTGACAATGATGGACAACCCCGGCGAATGCGCAGCCCAGTCAATTTCCCATTAAGAACACTTCTATCAATCAACTTCGAAAGCACATCCATGATGAGGATAAACAGATATGGGGAGAGGGGGTCTCCTTGACGAAGACCCCGGAGCGGTTAAAACTAGTCCGTTCGGCCCCATTAACGATAACTGAAAAAGAAACTGTGGTGATGCATTGCATCACCCATTGGATCCATTGGGAGTGGAAACCCATCTTAACCAACAATGCCTTTAGAAAATGCCAATTCACACAATCATAAGCTTTATTGAAATCCACTTTTATCGCTACGTCCTCCACCTTCCCTTTTCAAAGCTTCATCGCATGAAAGGCCTCATGGGCCACAATGATGTTATCTTGGATCAACCTTCCCCCCACGAAAGCCGACTAATTTTGCGAGACCACTGAATTGAGAATCCCCTTCAAACGGTTAGCAAGAATTTTTGTTATCACTTTCATGTTGAAGTTGCACAAGCTTATTGGGCGAAATTGCGCTAATGTTTCTGGAGCTGGCACTTTAGGAACAAGGACCAAGTTGGTGTGATTGAGTTCCTTCAACAAAAAACCCCCCCGAAAGAGACTCTTCACCGCAGAACACAAGGAGGGCCCTACAATATCCCAGTGGTGGTGGTAGAAGTACCCGGGGTAGCCATCCGGTCCAGGAGCTTTCAAAGATCCGAGTTGAAAAGCCGCAGTTTTAATCTCCTCATCTAGAACATCACAAATCAGCATCAAGTTCATATCCTCCGATACAACTCTGCAAACCACATCTAGAGCTTCAGTCATGTCACCTCTGGCACTATCAGAAAAAAGAGTCGAGAAGTAAGTAAAAAGGTGAGAATTAATTTCCGATTCCGATGTCAATAGTCTGCCATCATCGGATTTCAAGTGCAATAGTTGATTGCGTTGGCGGCGTTAAGTGAGTGTAGCATGGAAAAAAGCAGAATTACGGTCACCAAACTGGAGCCAGCGCACCCGAGATCATTGATGAAGATACATCTCTTCCCTCCTCATAACCGATTCCAACTCATGAGTTAACTGCCGATGCTGCGCGTCACTAGTCAATGTGTATGGCCGACTTTGTAATTGGGCAATCTGACCCCGAAGATGTTCAATCCGCCGTCGCCCATTCCCGAATTCCTTGGCGCTCCAGGCCCATAAACTCATTTGGCTTCTTTTCAGCTGTTGCACAAGGGTGAACATCGGAGAGCCCGTTTGAAACTTATCCCACTCCAATTGAATAGTAGCTGCACAAGGTGGGCTAGTGGTCCACAATGTTTCAAAATGAAATCTTCTAGGCACCCGAGCAAGAGGGACACAACAGTTCAGTACCAATCACTACAGGAAATATATGATTTAACGGCGTTTATTTAACGGCGTTTCTTAAAACGCCACTATTTATAATATTTAACGACATTTTGTCAACGTCGCATTTTGTTTTAATTAAAACGGCACCGTTTTAATAAATAGAAGTCGTTTAAAAAGCGCCTTGGAATGTTTTAACAGTGCCTCCCTCTCCAAACCCTCAAATCTCTCACAAAACTTATTTCAACCTAAGAAACTCTGCAGTCTCATAGAAACCGATCCCCCAAATCTGACTCACTCGCTCTCTCTCTCTCTCTCTAGGTCCTTCAGCTCCTTCAACTCCATTCAACCTTCTTCAGCTCGATGATTCATCATTCGGTCGATCCAATCTCAGAATGATTTTGATTTCGAAGCTCCACCGCCACCGCAACCACCATCTGCATCGTCTACTAACCATCTGCACAATTTCGATTTCAATCCAATCTCAGTTTCATCGATTCTTCTCTCTCTCTCTCTCTCTCTCTCTCTCTCTCTCTTCCTTCGGTCGATTCTTCTCCTAGGGTTTACAATCTTGAATCTCCTCCTAGGGTTTGGATCAACTCTCCTCTTGCCTGACTTGCCCCTTGCGATTTAATGCAGTAAATTCTCTCTCTGCTCATGAAGTTCATATTTAATTATAAATTTGTTGTGAGAGATTTGAATTTGAATCCATGTGTTCATTCGAATATGAATTTATAGTTATCACATCGTGAATTCAATCTGTAATGCTATGATGTTGAACTTGAGTGATTGCTTCCTCATGAATTTGTTGATACAATATTAGCATTTTAGCATTGTTCAATTTTAACTACCTTTGATGTTTGCTCTAAGTTTATATTGCAAGGCTTCCTATTCTTGACCAAAACAATGTAGACAGATTTTCATAGCAGTTTATATTGCTCATTCTGTGTTTTTGCTATTAGTGGATGCAGAATTTATTCTTTGTGAAACAGGGGCCTTTACCTTTATGATTTTTCTTTGTTCCAGCTGTTCATCTTTATGTATGGTATCCATCTTCATATACCCCTTTTCCCTCATCTATATTTGCTTTTATTTTATGGTGTATGCTTTTTGTACATAGTTTAATTTATAGGGACTAGTTTTTTTTTAAATTTTGAGTCTTCATTGTAATAACACCTATCAGGTTATGGTTAATATACACTACAGGCAATGAGTTAATAACAGTTTATGCTTATTTAGACAAATCACATAACATAAATATAAATTGGTGTGAATTTTTTGTACATCATATCCAACATGAACAATATACAAAGTGCAATAAGAAATGATGTAAGTTAAGTTTTGTTTTTAATGTTATGATATCTTGTTAAGTTAAGTTTGTGTGTATTAGCTATGTGTGTATATATCTTTGTGTGTTCAAGAGTATTTGTGTCACACCATGTTCCTCCCCCCTTTTCTCTCTCCTCCTCCTAGTAGCTATTCCGGCAACTCCTCTCCCTCCGTCCACTGCCAGATTCAGGGATCCGACCCTCTCCACCCTAACGCTCGCATGCTCCTCTATGACGATCTCCTTCTCAACGGGTAATAAATCTTCACATCTTCTCCGATCTCTTTCATATGTAATTCAATGGAATTAAAAATTGGTGTTGTTGCAATTCCCTGCTCTAGAAATATGAAATTGGTGTTGTAAGGAGATATTGTTAATTTACCCTTAAATTTATTTATTGAAATATGAGCAAATTAATCAGGAGCACTAGAAAATGCTCACAAATATTAAGCATACTTTAGAATACATTTGAGAGCCTTGTGAGCTTTATTTGGTCTGCTTGGACTCATCTCTAACCTACAATGCATTGGTCATCAAATTATTGGACAAACTGAATTGAAAGTTGCATCAGTAAAGCTATTAAGCATTCTCAGTGTTCACTGAAATGCCACAATGAGGTCAGTTTTGGATAACCCCGTTTGGGTTTTGATTTGCGGACTCCTATTGTGTTTCCATGTGAAGTGTCAGAGGCCAGAGATTCTTAGAATTGGAACTCTTTTGTTTTACAATTCAGTCATTGGAAGAGTTTCAAAGGTTGCCATTGAAACTGCTATTGCTGATGTTAATGCTGATCCAAGCATTCTTAATGGGACTCAGCTGAAACTAATCATGGAGGACACAGGTTGCAATGTTTTCTTGGGGTCTGTTAAAGGTATTTTCATGTTCACCTGTGTTGTCCCCCTTTGTTTTCTATATCAGGTTCAGCTCTTAATTTGACTCTGCCATGTCTGTTATGATGGAAAGTTCTCATATTGTCTTAATTTTTCTTCTTTAAATATTTGATAGAAAACAATAAACGTTATATTAAGTAATAAGAATTGGGGAGAGGTCCTAAATGCTTGTTTCTTCAGAAAAAGTGCCAAAAGAGTGAAACAAATCCTATAACCTGTAAAACCTTGAAAAGAATACAAAGACAGCCTCTTGATTTTGATATACATGTAAGACAATACTGTCCTTTCTGCTAAACAAGTTATGAAGGCACATCTCTAGAAAGCTATCTACAGATGTTCGATAGAGTTCACATGTGCAAATATTCTTTATTTTTAGTTATACCTTTAATTTTTATTTTTTTCGGAATATCCATTTATTGGTAAACATTGCCTGATAAGTCAGATGTGATATACGTGGTTGATACACAACATATTACATGCATAAGATTTGCATCACTATGGCTTTACTCGAGGCGAAATTGGGTTACGGGACTGTTACCTTGAGAATAATACAAGGGATTTTTTCATTCCCCTCACATTCCTAATGTTTCTGGGGTTGATTAGCTGTTTTGGTTCTACTAAGAAAGGCTGGTAGAACGATATCTTGCCAGCCTTAGGTTGAACTCAAGCATCTTGAACCATCTGTTCAAGTGATGGGCGTTTCCGCAATATGGTTTTATTGGCACGTTCTTATAACAGATCAATAGATGATGATGCTGTGAGGAAACTATGCACTAATTTGATGTATCAATTTTTGCATGCAGGTCAAGGAATTGGGCAAAACACATGGTATCAATGATTCAAAGTCTGGAACTTAAATTCATACTGTCTCAGCATGCTTATTATTGTCCATTTTCAGGTGATTTTGCCTATAATTATGGTTGTTGACTTCTTCTTGTTATTGCTATTGCTTTGTTGTTATATATTTTTAATTGAAAATAAATTGAGGATTCTTCTTTAATATTTCATCGACTGGAAATATTCTAAGATCTTTGAAGTTGACTAATTCGCTGAAAGTAAATTCTACAACCTGTAAAACTTATATACAGGAGAAAATAGTGAACCATCCCATCAAATTGTATAGTCCTGTTTTTAAGGTGATCTTAAAGTATTATTTGTGTTCCAGTGATCATAGTGTGCTCTATATTTGTGTCACTTTGTAACTATAAATTTTTAGCTTAATGCAATCGCATCTTCTGTGTCTGTTTTCTCCATTATATTAATATCCTTTTATGTCTTTTAATTATCCATTTTTTATTTCTGATTTGGAGCAACCAAGATCTCCACCTTTTTTCTCTGTGCTTCATCTTTTTCTTCTCCTGCAGACATTTGTACCTCCACTTTTACCTCCTCTTAAAGAAATCTACCCAGGAAATATAGTTGATGACCTGATAGGTACTTGTCTTTGGCCCTTTTTTTTTTTTTTTTTTTTTTTTCCATTGCATTCTTCTGAAATTAATAAAGATACAGGCAACACAACATTACATTTTTCATTTTAATCTATAATTAGTTTAGATACTGAGTTGAAACCTATCAATAAAAGAAAATATTTAAAATTTCCTTGTGAATTTGGAAGTTAAAGTGCCAAAAGAATGATTTATTATCTTTCCATTACATGAAGACTGCATTAGATTCTAAAAAAATTATTATTGTGTTTTAAGGTCCAATAGAGGGCTTTCTCTCTCTGTTGGTACTTCTTAACATAAACAGTGTGGTCCCGGTACTAGTGTGAGTGCATGTTTGAGGCTTCAATTTTCCACATCTTACGAATTCTGTCAGAAATATTCTACAAGCAGGGTTTTGGTCTTCCATGAGTTGATATCGAAAACTTGAAAGATTCTAAGAAAATGAAAGTGATCTGAGAAAACTTTTTGCATGTTGGTCCATTTTAGTAGGTTTGAGAATCAAGAGATGCAAAATGGGAATAGTATTTGACCAAAGAAGATTGAATTCCATGGTTGCATAACTTGTGAATATGAAAGCCACAGTTGCCAAATCTTCATAACGGCTTGGTTAATAATTTGTCATATATGTTTTATTGCAGGTGTGAGGGCTGTTGCAGAGAGATATATTGAATAAATATGTGCTGAGAATATAAACAAGTTTAGATCGGATAAGTCCAGAAAAATAAATAGAAGTTCTTTGTCTGAGCTTTTCATTTCATTCCTCAAAAATGTAAGTAGTTCTTTCATAATTCTTTCCTTTACAAGTGAATTTATATGTATGAGATCAGCACCAACAATGGATCTAGGGTGAGATCAGCACCAACGATGGATCTAGGGGGGGGGGGGACCACACCCCCCTAAAATTTGAAAAATATCACTTATTATATTAGAAATTTTAAAATAATTAAAAATTATAAGGATTTGCACACCCAAACATATTTTTGCACCCCCATAGTTATAATCTTGGATCCGTCCCAGCACCTTGTATCTGTTTGTTACATTTTCTTTCTTTTATTTTATTTTTGGGTATTTTGACCTGAATGATATTGTGTATAAAATACGATAAATGTTTTTGTCTTTCTAATATTTGATTCATAAAATTTATTCTGGCCCAAAAGGGAGGGCTTTTCCCAATTCTATGAATGGGATGGCTATGAGAAATTGTCGAACACGCAAATAGACTGTTTATTAATTTTCGATAGATTGGGTAACAAATTTTTTTTTTTTCTTTTTTGCAGTTTGCTGACATTAGTTCTAGGGCCTCAGAAAAAGGAATCTGCCCATATACTGGACAATGGGAACAAATTGATACCAATATGAGATGGCTGCCCAAAACTTGTGCACTATTTGTAATCTCTCTCTCTCTCCACTACAGCTGCAACTACGACTTAGCTTTTTTCCACTAGTGGAGCTAATTTTATTGCTAATGGCTGTTTAGGTTGAGGACCCTTTTGAGCAACCAGTTAACATGGCTAGGACTGTTGGCATTAGACATCTAACGAGGATATCAGAAGCATTTCAGGGAACCCACTATGCACTTATGTATGGAATTAAATTATGTAAGACATCTAACGAGGATATTGGATATTAAATTTGGTTAATCCTCTATTATGTATGGAATTAAATTTATTATTTTAATAAACATCAATTATTAGTTTGACGGGTATTTTTTTTTGTTCAACCATGTAAAATTAAAAAATTAAAAAATTAAAAAAAAGGCTATGGCGGCGTTTAAAAAACGTCACTATATCCCACCCCAACGGCTAGATTTTAAAAATGTATAAATGTCTATGACGGCGTTTTTAAAAACGTCGCTAAATGTCATAGTGACGTCGTAGTACACTTAGGTAGGACATTTGGCGGCGTTTTTAAAAACGCCGCCTATACTAATATAACGACGTTTTTCAAACGTCATAAAGTTATAGCGACGGCCGCGTCATCGGCGTTTGGTATTAAACGTCATAAAAAGAATTAGCGACGTTTTTAGTACTTTTAGCGGCGTTTTTTAAACGCCGCTAAAAGTGAATTTTCCAGCAGTGAATGGACAATGATCTGAGCCAAAACAAATATCATGGAAAACTTGGACATGCGGGTAAAGATCCCTCCACTCAACCGTAGCCAAGGCCCTGTCTAATCTTTCACGAATATTAAGCTCACCCTCCTGGTTGTTAGTCCAAGTAAAAGCATGCCCTTTAAATCCCAAATCAACCAAATTGCATTCCGAAACCATATCTTGAAAGTCACTAAGCTGAGAGACATGACATTCCCGGCCACCCTGCTTCTCCAAAATAGAACCCACTTGGTTGAAGTCACCCACACATAACCACGGGTAGTGCATCCTTGAAGCCAAATCACATAAGTATTTCCAGAAAGCTGTCCTTTCCCGCCTTGGAGGAGGGGCGTAAATAAAACAGGCAGCCCAACTCCTTCCTGCCGTTGATGAAAGTATACGCCGAAAAAGGTTTTGGGATTTAGACTGGATATCTAACACAACCCTATCCATCCACCAAAGGGCTAGACCGCCGGAGGTGCCGATAGGGTCAACATAACAACTATTAGGAAAATTGAGGCTCTGCCTGATTCGGTCCAGCTTTGCTCTCTTATTCTTTGTCTCCATTAGAAAGATCACCGAAGGCCGGTGGGTTGTACACAACCCTCGTAATACCTGGACTGTCAAGGGACGGCCCAACCCCTGACAGTTCCAGCTGATAATTAATATGAGGCTTGTGGCTGTTTGGGGTCAGCCACCACCACCCTTTGAGTATTACCAGACGTATCCATTTCTTCGACGTCCGCCACAGGAACCACACCCCCAGGCACAACTCCCCCTGGGCTCGGGATGACAATAGAGGCTGCATCCTGAATTGGGATTTCAACAAGAGAAAACTTCTTCACACGACTGCCTCTCCGAGATAGAGTCCTTGGATTAGGCTTTCGAGTAACAACGAATAGAGCCTGGGGATTAGCTACAGCCGTATCCATAACCGAATCAACCCCCTTCAGTTTTTTCAGCGGGACATGGTCACACAGATCCTCCTCACTAAGCGGTCTCTTAAGAGATAAACAGGTGAACACCTGGGAAATGCTTGCCTCTATAAGGGAGTCACTGGGCGTTCATCTCTCAGGACTTGGGCTGGGACTAATTTCCTCCACACTCAAATTAGAGTGAGACACGTTAACCGTGGGCTGAAAATTAGAAGAAATAGCTTCTGATGGCTCTGTTACAAAATATAAGGCTTTAGGCCTCAGTCCCGAGTTGGCCATAAGAGGGCCCAAATCTGTATGGGTCACGACTTTCTCTTCAACTGGCCTAAGATTTAACTTGCAAATGGGAGATGGGCCACATACCAGATTTAAGGCATGCGAGGAGGGGTCCAGTAAAGACGAAGATTCTAGAGGGGAACCTGATTTGCACTGGCGTGGGACCTGGAACTAAACCAACTCTGCAGCCCCCAATTCCACTACCCTATTTCGTACTGAACGTATCTCCACGTCCTTAGCCCGGTGATGCGAGCTGTCCACAACTGGCCCACTCGCGGCATCCCTTTTTTCTCCCTTTGAACGCGCCACCGTAGAGCCTAGCGGAGAGCCCAGAGGTGGCAAAGACTGAACCCGACTAGCACGCAGCTCCTCCGAAGGTCCGCAGTCTGGTTGCGCAGTGAATCTACGTTTCTAGCCGGCCCTGTTCTTTGATTGGGACCGTAGCCAGAGGTGCGACCCTCCTCCCGTGATACAAATTTGCAGGATAAGTTATCGTGCCCAATGCGACCACAATCATAGCAGAACTCAGTCAGTTTCTCATACTTATAATAAACTTTGACACCATCCCCAACTGGCCCCGAGCTATCACGGCGATACAGAATAAACCCCTACAGCAGAGGTTTAGTAACATCAACCTCGACACGGAGCCTCAAGAAGCTACGATGAATAAGAAGACCATCTGAGGGAGCTTCCACCTCAACCAATCTGCCTATCCTATTGCCAATAACCTCCTCATGAGCACAGGTCATTTTTTCGAACAGTAAACCATGAACCTGAACCCAAAAAGGGCTCCACCTAAACTCCAAATCATCTGCGGCCATCCCCAACTACAGCATCTGAAAAACCAATAGACTCCCCATTACGGACCACGGGGCCTCCAAAAAGACCCTAGAGCGATCCTCCAAATCGTCAAACTGAAAGAGATATATGTTCTCTTTCCAAGGAGAGACAGAAACACCTGCTCTGGTCTTCCAAGTAGCAAGAATGATTTTAGTAACATATGGTTTGTTCAAGATTTTGGGAGCAAGAACCTTCCCTACTAAACACCGGTGTGAGACATCTTCACACTCATCTGTGAACTCCGGCATCTCGAAAGACTCCATGCTCAAGTCTAAGTCCCTTTCAGTCAACCAACGAAGCAATACCAGACCACCCACACGGAAAGAAGTAAAAGAGAGTCTCCAAGGGATAAACCCTAAGAACTACCAGTAAGCAGAGAGTGCTCTCATTTTAGAGAGAGAAAAAAGATGATTCACAAGTGGAGAGATTAGGCACTAGGAAAGACAAAACGCATATCCTCTCATCTTTCCCAGTTACAAAGTTGTCCACAATACCATAATTTACCAAGCAAAGAAAGAGAACCAACCAGAAAAGATTCCATTCTAGTGTGGGGCATTGAAATCCCCTCTTTCAAACAAGTCAATTAAATAATTTGGCCTGTGCTCTGTCACAATTCTACTTCAGTTTATACTCTTTTGAACTCTTGTCTCCATTAATTGGATGAAAAGGCCATACATTCAGATTGTTGAGACTTGATAACAATGCTAGAGTGTGATGAAAAAAAATTGACATGTGACATCTATTTAGCAAAATTTGTTGTTGGATGAGATGCAATTCGGGTACCGGTGCGAAAGCTGTATGTCTATCTATAGCAATGATTAAGGTAGCAGCTAATTGGTAAGTGGTGTCACTTGCCAAATCATATGGCTATTAAATTCAACTCAACTCAACTCAACTCAACTCAAGAGCCATCTCAAAGAAAACACGACAATTGTTCAAATTGTTTTAGCTCAAGCTACTTATGGGTTTCTAAAGAAAAGAAAAATATCACGGGGATATTGCAATTTAGTAAAAACAATTCAAAACGATTGCATTTTTATGGAAATGCAAATGAATCTGTGTCCGTGCCACATCAAACATAACTATCACTTGCATCCATTTGCTCGCAATTATTTTAATTTGTTTTCACCTTTTTGCAATTCCCCCAAGTATCATATAAATGGGAAATGAGTAACAAGTTGGAAACCAATAAAAACTTTGCAATTAGTTACACAAGACACAATTCTCATTTTCACACTTAATTTGTAATTAAAATTTCCAGTTCCATTTATGTGATATTCCAAAAATAAAAAAATAAAGACAAAAAAAGAAAAAGAAATATTTGGTATGCTTGAATTGTCATCAAGACCAACAACAATTTAATTTTAACGCTATCAAATCTACCAAATGAATAATAAAAAATGGTCAGGAAACAACAAAATCCATGTGCTTCATTAGCCCCTATGAAAATTAAAACACGAAATGAAAAGTAACAGCTTAATAGAACCCTAAGGATAGAAATGACAATGAGAAAAACCACCAACATCTGTAGAGAGACGATTACTTGGATCTTTGTCTCATCTTTCTACGCTTCCTCTTCAATCTCCTCATGCGCTTCTTCTTCCACTGTAAAAGACATACAAACAAAAAGCGTAATTAGAACAAGCAAATAGATTCTGAAAGATTGGAATGGAAGGGATGAAGAGATCTTACCTTGGCTCTCATCGCGACAAAGACAGTTTACCTTTCTGAAACCTAGAAAGATCAGATACGAAGGGAAACCATAAGCCCTAGGGTTTGTATTATATATTTAGATTGAGAATAAAAAGATAAAAAAGATAAAAAGCTAACAATATTACATATTTATAAAAATTACCTAGAAAAAATGCATTTATAGATCACAATTATTCTAAGTATGACTCATTTCCCACAAATTATAAATCTACACCATCTATTTGATTTTCAAAATAGGATTTGAAACACAACTCATGGTACATAACGATTTTCCACAAAAAGTATGGTAAGAGCATCCATCTCAGCTTCACTACATAGAAAAATAATTGTTGAATAAATGAGATTAGTAAAATATTATATTTTTACTTCAGTGATTGATTACCTTCTTAAAAATTATAAGTAGAGCTTCTTAAAATTTTTATTTTTTTAAAAATATATCTAGATTAAATACATTTAAAATTTTAAAAAATTTAACTAAAGATATGAAGGAAAAAAAATGTATATGCGAGTTAAAAAACCAAACAGTCTGTCTTTGCACTACTTGAAAAAATATTGTAATGACAAACTCTGGAGAATGGAATTGGAGGGTTATGAAACTGAGTTTTACTGAACCAAACTACACTACTTTGGATTGCTTGGATGGAGTCCGATTTTGTTCATATGAACATGACACACCTTGTAATTGGTTTTTCCATTAGGATCCACCTTCCGGTTCCAAATAGATTTCACATTCCAAATGGGCTTATTTTATTTAGCCAACTTTGTTTTGAGACTCATTTAAATTCTCAAAAAATTTATGGTCCCAGAATATA